ATTAGTTTTGCTGTTAAAAGTACAGATTTTTTTTAAATGACATTTTTTGTCGAAATGTACACGTTTTTTTTTTTTTTTTTAAAAAAACGTTATATTTCAAGGTGGTTTGCCTAAATATTGCGACAAGCTTCTAGAGAAGTTAGGGTTATCAGCATTATAATTGAATAGAAACACATATTTGACGTCGTACGCTGCTAGAGGCGCGTTTCTCTATTATAGACAGTTCAGAAGCACAGGAAGAAACATTATTACTTCGTGCTGCCGTTCCCACATGGACTTGCATCCTACCTCAGGCACGTTTGAAGGAAGAGTTTCTTTGAGTAGCCACTCTTTAGCAAACCAAGCCCCCCACTATCAGTGCAGAAACAATCAGCAATGTGTTTTACGCCTGTGTCCCCCCCCTTCCCGACTGAACCGGTTCATACCTTCATTTTCTGTTTATACCCAGAAAGAACGTCACGTCTTTCCGCAGACAAGTGGGTGCGAAGCTTTAAGAGAACGCAGTCCACCTTGGTGCACGCGTTTGTTTGAAAAATAATTTCGCCAGATGGTACTTGCCTTACCAAAATTAATTGCCATAATTATCTTGCCATTTGTTCTACATGTTCGGAGACGTGTCTTATCAACGAGCATTTTTTTATTCATGCGTAGGAATGTCACCCAGGCACTTAGCAGTTCTCACTAGTTTCGCCATTCACCAGTTTGTAATAAGGAAGCTTCCCTAGCGGTGTATGACGACATCTTAAGGCAAAGGTTCCTATGCAATTTTAATCCTGATGATGTGCTCTTACTCTCCTAGAAGTTTGTCGCAGCAATTATGTTACCTTCCGTTAGATGTAAAGATTTGAAACTTGCATATTTCGACGAAAAAATAGACTGAAAAAAATATTAACTGTAGCTTGGAGTGATATACTGATTGTAAATTTAAAACCAACGGTACGAAAGCATGTAAGATCTATAAAAAAATCTCCTGCAACAGAAAAAAAAAAGTTCTGTAGTGTTATTTATTAATTTTTAGGATTTTCATCAAAGCAGCAAAGTCTCGCCAAACTGGTGATTTTTAAGAGGTTTAATGATTTTTTAAAAAATATTTAGGCTAATTAATTTGTTTAATTTAAAGTCCTAACAATTCTTTTCGGAAAGATAGGAAATATAGTTTAAAACTTTACTGAGAGTTAGAGGCACACAAGCTATTAGTGAAAGAAATTTAAATACTAAAAAATAGTGCCGTAAATCGTAAACTAAAAAGCGACTATACTGACAAATGAAAAATAAAATGATCCAAAATTAAATAAACTAAAAATAGAATCATAAACTAAAACAGTAATAACACAAACTAACGAAAAAAAATTGATTAAAATTAAGATAAAATTGAATAAACTAAAAATACAGTCATAAACCAAAAAATTGACGATACAAACTGATGGAGAAAAAAAAAACTGATTAAAATTGGGTCAAAATTAAACAAACAAGAAAAATTTTGATTTGGAGAACTATTAAAAAGAATGAAAAAGAAGATGTTTTCCTTTATTGTAATTCTTTTTAACTTGAATCTCAGGGATTAGTTACATTTCAATCGTAATGACATGGAATTTCTTGTCATTCAATTATTTATTATATTAGAGTTATGGAAATGTACGCATTTATTTATTTATTTACTTTTTTTTTTGCTTAATATATAGCGGCAGTTTTAATCTTTTCGATATGGTCAACCATAAAATTATAAAATAAAAATGAAGCTTAGAAAAGAAAATTAAAAATTTCAAAACGTGTATTTGCTGCATTAATCTAAAATTTCAAAATAATGATTTAGCTTGGATCTTGCATCGTACTCTACTGTGTGTCTTTTTAAAAAGTTTCGTAAGAGGGAAAAATACCTATTGTGAATATATATATATGCATTGAATTTAAGAACGATATGTTTAGTGTGTAAATTTAATAAAGGCGGAACACAACCTTTTTTAGAGGGGGGGGGGGGTCACAGAATTAAGGTCAGTTCTTACACCGATTAAACGTAATCGCTGTAAATTTAATTATTCTTCACTGCCCTCGGTAGCTCAGGGGATGTCGTCTCTCAATGTAATGACTAAGGCAGAAATCCCAGAAACGGATGTTCGATTCGAATTCTGCTTTCGGCTGTTAAAGACAAAGAATTCTGTCGCTTAAGTGAGCAATATTGTAAGAAAAAGATTTATAATTGGAACACATCTTCGAACATCGTTTCCTTCGCACAATTTTAACCTCTTTATTTTAATAAGCAATTTCAGGACAGCCACCGACTAAGATATCGCTCTTTTTTTAACAAGAAAAAAAAACGCCCTGCTTTTTTTAAACTTTATTATTTATTTACTTTTATCGTTCACTTTAAAACACTGAGCAGTTTATTGATCACATGTTGTCCCCTTATGCCACTTCATGAAACAACTTACTATTAAAATCAGTATTCACTATTATCAATGTCAAAAGAAATTGCACTTCATTTTATTTTCTTCTTGCAAAAACTAGTCACGGTTTAGAAACATGTTGCTCAAACGTTTCTGTTGTAAGCATTTCGACCTCTCATAAAGTACAGAGCTACGTAATTTAGCTTAGTGGGCAAAAATACAGGGTGTTTATAAAGTCCCGGGCCCATTTTGATGTTTAATGGCTCATAAAATAATAAAGATAGATTAAAATTAACAACATAAATGGTTGGATAGGCTCAAAAAGTTTCATGACCCTTGTCAATGAACTTCCACGTGTGCCCCCATCGTCGCACGGAGAATATCAAGTCGATAGTCAATTTCACGCCATGTAGCGGCACGCATAGCGGCAGGATTTTCTGAAGCGCATAATGTTCTCCGACGAAGCATCCTTTCATGTTTCTAGCATTGTTAATCGCCATAATGTGCGCATATGGGGATCTGAAAACCCCCATGAATACCGTGAGACACAAAGGGATTCCCCAATGGTCAATGTGTGGTGTGGACTAGTGCACGACCGAATCATTAGGCCTTTCTTTTTTCCAGAAAAGATGGTCTCATCAGTCGTGTACTTAGACATGTAGGAAAACTTCGTATTTCCACAACTAGAAAAGCTTCAGCCGCATGTCTTTTTGCAACAAGATGGTGTACTACCTCATTGGGGTATCATCGTTCGTAGTTCTTTGAATGACCATTTTCCAGAAAGATGGATTGGGCGAGGAGGTCCAATTTCTAGGCCACCCAGATCACCTGATATAATGCCGCTGGACTTTTTTCTTTGGGGATTTATAAAGGACAATGTTTACAGGAGGATCGTGTCGAACATTGATGACCTAAAAGCCAGAATTACAACCGCAATAGCCTCTGTGGATGCCGACATGCTTGCCGCTATCTGGCATGAAATTGACTATCGACTTGATATTCTCTGTGCAACAAAGGGGGCACACATGGAAGTTAATTGACAAGGGTCATGAAACTTTTTGAGTCTATCTAACCATTTATGTTATTAATTTTAATCTATCTTTATTATTTTATGAGCTATTAAACATCAGGATGGGTCCGGGACTTTATAAACACCCTGTAGTATACTTTGGATATCTAATTTAAATCAAAATCATTGTTCAAAAGAAGAGAAAAGAAAATTATATTTTTAATGCTATTTTAGTATAAAATATATGTTTGCAACGAAAAGCTCGCCACAATTACGATTTTATCTCATGCTATGAATTTTCATTATAACGTACTTTTACCCAATATTTTTAGAAAATCTGTCCAATCACTAGTGAGAAAAGCGGTATGAAAAACACCCAAAACAATTTTATGCCTTTAGAAATTTGGATGTGACTCTGATGGTCGTTCTTTTAACTCTTTGCTTCCTTAGACAATCATGCACGTTTTAGGGGCTTCAGCATCGCTTTACTCATTAGTGGCTTGTTAGAATTTTAATAGCGATTTTGTATCTCCTTCGTTCAAATGCTGCTTTGTGACCCTATAATGCGTGTGTCCCCTGATGACACATTTATATTTTCATTCTTATTTTAATTGTAAAGATTTTATATATGTCTTATTTCTATTATATAAAACAAATTTGGTTTCTACTGCCTTGTGCGCTTTTCCAATTTCATTTAATGTTTCAATGTGTTTATTTAGACTCTTTTTAACTTCCTTTTTTTGAAAACCTAATAATTATGTATTAAGGGTAGTGCTACGGAACACCCTATATATGTATTTTATTTATTAATGTATGTATTGTTAAAAAGTAACAGCATCATTGCATTTATTGTACTCCGTATTTGTGAATAAACATTAACAACAGCACAATATTTGAGTCGTTATCTTACATTTTCTTATCAAATTTGCCATTGATTTCCAAATTCCAAAAATACCAATTTTTTGTGTGTTTTTGAGAATTTTTACTAATTTTTCTAATAGAAATTACAGTGCTTTTGGAGGATAATCAGAAGAATTTTAACTGCATTTTTAACTTCATCAATCACATATACACGATGGAGCTTTAATAAAATCGAACTTGTGAATTCGTTTCCGATTTTATAAAATAGCACTATAACAGAAACTGAAAGCCATTTATTACAAATGCCCTTTCATTCAAAAAGGAAGAAAAAAAATTTATATTAGATGTTGGCTGCATTTCATACTAAAATTATAAAATATCTTCTTACATTGACCAATTGCGAACAGATAATTTCAACTTTTAAAAGAAAAAGAAGAAGAAAAAAAAACAATTGCAAATGTAAGACTATTAAACAGCTTAAGGTACAATAGTTGATATTTAAACTTGCAGAGAAGTTTAAACAATTTTATCTGTTATTTTCACTGCATAATAGAAATAAAATATTGCTCAAATATAATCATTAAAAATTTAATATCCTCTAGGGTGCACAATAATGGGGGGAATCACCGAATAAATGATTGACATATCAATCAACATCATCAAAATAGAACAAAATTAATTTCCGGAAAGTCCGACGATAAACCGTAACCGAACTCTACTCATGAAAGAAGGGAAAAGAAACTCACCTGTTTCCATGTTCATGTTCCGTGACTATTCTAATAAGAACGAAGTTAATATACGAGACGCAGGGGGAGGGGGATGAATTAAACTCAAGAGCGCATGCGTTTTTATTCAAAAAGTAACGATTAGTAATGTCGTGCAACTTAGAGAGCTTTCGCTGGAAAAAATAATGTCCACTCAATGTTATGGTCAAGTTCGGACAAAGTAATTATTCTGGAGTTGCTTCTTGGAATGAGAATTGTTCGTAAATTAGACGAAGTGTCCTTTTGTAAAGCTGATTTGAATAAGTGATTTGCAGATCCATTTATAATTTTTTTTTAACTTTTATGAAAGTACTTTCTTTTAAATTGCTATTTCTCAAAGAACCTTATTCTGTGCATAATACAGATTTTTGCTATATACTTTATGAAATGAAAAATGCACTATAATTTTTATTTGCATGTTATCTTCAAAACGTTTATCGTTTGCATTAATTTTTTTAATAATTAAATAGGTTTAGGGACCGTTCACAAATGGTTTCAAACTTGAAGGTCAGGGGAGGGTTTCGTGGAATCTGCAGAAAGGAATGCAAGTGGCAATTACCATCAAATCACGCCTTTCTAGATCACAAGACCTAATAGTGGGATGGTTAATAACTATTAATTGTAAAAAAAATAATATAAGTGTTCACAAAAACTTTAAAAGTAGCGTGTACATAATTGTTAATTTTTATTTTGACATACTACTTTGATTACTATGTAACAGACTAACGCCGAGACCAGTCGAGTACTACGTAATCACTAAACGAAGGTAAGTGGTGTAGTGATTTGCTTTTTTTTTGGCTGACAAGAGGAGGAGGAGTATGAGCAAGGCTTAAAGATAATTTCCTTGTTTTCAAAATTTTTCTTGGAAAAAAAAAAAGAATGAGGCAAAAAATCTTAAAAAAAAAAAAAAAATATTCAAATTTGGAATAAAAGTAAAGAAACAGTTAGAAAAAAATTCTTCGAAGAGTTTCAGGGGACAAAAAAGTGTTAGCTAAACAGAGAAAACACAAGAGATAATTCTTAAAGAATTTTTTGCTCAAACTTTTATAAAATTAATGAAAACGTAAATTGCTAAGTTGAATTTAATCCTTAAAGTAGATAACTACCACTTCCGTCAAAGTTAAAGCAAAACCCAAGGGGAAGGGGGAGCGTTGTATATTCATTGCATAACCATGAGAGGGGGCTTGTGGTTTGCATATTTTTGCTGAGAAAGAAGAGTCCAAAATTGACAAAAGCATGCTCACGCAATATTTAAACTGCCCTATTTGAAAAAAAACAAGAAAAAAAAACTGATTTAAACCAAACATGATCTTTATTAATTTAATTATTGTACAACTCTAGAGCAATAGGGTTATATTAAAGGGTTGCATTAAGATTATTAATAGAAAAAAATGTTTAGAAAAAGAAAAGATTTGCTTGCTTCAAAAATTAATAAATTTAAAAATCTTCTCACGTGAGAATTCTCAGATAAAATTTCTTTATGAATTTTTTTAGAGGAAAAAACTCGATTCTTAAATTGGTCAAAAAAACTTGAAGTTTGTGGAAAGATAGGGGGAGAATGTAGGAATCAGTGTGACATTCCATAATTTTGATTATTAAAATATTTCAGATCTGAAGATTAAGTATTCTCTATTTTCAAGTTGTTGTTTCTTCCATCAATTGCATTTCGATAATGAAGAGGAGAAAAGTGTGGATAATGAAGAAATCGCATGCCCTTGACACGGCTATTTACAGAGAATATAATAAGGTTTACTCTGTTCTCTCCAAATTAGATAGAGTAGTCCTGATAGTGAAACTCATTTTCGTGAAAAAAAGGTTACAAGTCTGAATTTGGGGACTGTCAAAACAATTTCTAAACCTTTCCATAACCTCATAAAAAAAAAAAAAAAGAAACAAAAATGGGGTGGATCTTTTGATTAACGAGCATACATTGTATTCTCATTTCAAATCGTAATTAATCAATAATTAAATAATTAAGAACACAATGGTTATATATGCATATAGATTATATACATAGATTTTCTTTATATATGTTTTGCATAACAATAAATGTGACTGAATGTGAGTTTGTTATATAAGGTAATATTTAAGTTCAATGCATGCTACAAGAGAAAATATAAATTTCTATTCAAATTAGAAAACAATATGGAAGCATTTTTACAAAATAATTTTCTGGAAAAATATTTTTCATTACATTTCAATTCCAAAAATTTATTTTCTGCTGTAAAAGGTGTAAAAAGTGGCTATTTTAAGAAGAAAAAAAAAATTAACTCTAATTTTGGATATTTTGAATTTAACATATAATTTTCTATTTTAAATGCGTTTTAGAATTACTGCCCTTACTTAAAATTTTAGATTCCTCGTCAAAAAAAAAAAAAAAACTTAAGAGTTTTTAATTGAAAATGAAGAAAGGTCAAAGCATAAACGTTATTCAAATTTTATAAATGAACATTCAGAAAAGCGGTATAAGAAACATCAGAAGAATTTTGATTGTAGGAAAAATTCGGAGGTATTAAGATAATAAAATCAAAATTAAGGAAAAAGAAGAAAAATATAAAAATAAAGGGAAAAATGAAGGAAGAGGAGATAGTTAAAAAAAAAAAAAAAATCAGTACAAAATTTAAAAACAAAGGAATTAAAATTTTTTATTATCAATTCTTCTAAAAAAATTAAAAATTATTGAAAAAAATATTTAAAGCTTGTCAATGCAAAAGCAAATACTGATTTGATTGCTACGTTTTAAAAATAAATGAACTTTGCATTCTGAAACTTAAATTGTGAGATTCTTAACTCTAAATGAGCCACAAAAAAAGTTTTCGATTTTAAAGTTTTAGTCACGATGAAGGCCTCCGGAGAGGTGGGAAGGGAAGTCGATCAATAAAATCTAAGCAGTTATTTTTATTAAATATGAATAAAAAACTAATAACAGAAACAATTTCAATATTTCCTATCTTGCAAGTTTCCGGTTAATAATTTCTGCACATTTTAACCAGTCAAACAAAAAACACAGAACAGGCTGAAGCGTGATAATAAGTCCTTCACTGGAATGAAATAAGCAAATGTTTGGAGTAGTTTTTCAAATAATTTCAATGCTCCGTTTAAACAGTTTAAATGGTGTTTAGTTCGTTAAAGTTCGAAAATATTAAACTGAGTACATATTGTGAATTCGCATTTAGGATACGAAATCTGAATACGAACGGAATCGGAGCACAGCGTGTAGAAATTTGTTTGAAGACAATCACGCACATTCAATCTTAATATGTTTATTTTGATTTCATGATTGTTTTGTAATAAGAATTTGACCAACCGTTATTCCATTTTTCAACTGATTTCAGTAAGTTTTTGTTTAATACAAATTTATTTTGTTGACTTCTGTATATTTTTACATTTATTTGATTGTTTTTATTCTGTTTATGGAATTTTTAAGCTTAATAAACGCAGCTAAAATTCGTACAATTTGAAATTGAATGTTGCGTATTATTTGCTGAAGTAATATTTTATTACTAAAGTTTTTGTGCTAAATTTTTAATTATTTTGCAGTTGTTATGTTTGAAACATAATTTTGTCATATCCTTCATATAGAATTCGAGATTAATGATGGAAAATGCAAAAGAAAAACTGAGCTCTCTACTTCACAAAAAAGAAAAGTACATTCAAACTGGTGTGCAGCTTAAAGAAAAGAAAGACTTTGCCATGAATCAGAACACTGTAAGTGATAGGAATGATTTTATATCAGACTCAAATCACTTCAACAAATGCTGCTTTTGTACTAAAGTATTTCTAAACTCTAAATTTTTGATCCAGCATATATTGCGCCGGCATTCAGAAAATCTTATTGCTATGTATCGGAAATTAAATGACCTAACGAGATCGGACGCTCAAGATCACTTTAGCCAAAATGATGTGCTTAATTTGATGGCTAATGAGTTTTCAAAATTAAGGAATGATTTGGAATTCATTAAATCTACCATTTCTAATCAGAAATCCAATCAAAACTTTTATCACAATTCATTACTTAGAGAAGCAGAAGTTCATGACAGCTTTGCTGACATTCTTGAAAGAGTTGATGCATTAACTTCACAGTTGCAGGCTTTAAAGGTTACCAATGCAAAAATTGAATCGGATATTAGTCACCTGAAAGTTCAGTGGACTGAATGCGATGTTGAAAAGTTTAGTGACAGCACGAAACTAAAAGACACTTTAATTTTCCAGACTTTAAAAGATGAGATATTGTTGGAAATACAGAATTTAATTATGAAAAATAATGAGGAACAAAACCAAAATCTTAATAAGATTTCCTCAAATTTCAAAGCTGATGTTGGAAGACTTGAGCATTTGGTAAAAATGAATTTAGAAAACATAGACACGTCGAATCTTGTTCAAGAAACATTGAAAAGTCTGGAGAAAGAGATCGAGTTTTTCTTCAGCTGTCATAAAGCAAAGAAACAAAAAGTTCGAGTCTGTGAATTTGATCAATCAAGGAAAAATTCCACAAGAATTAAACCAATTAAGCCTTATTTCTTGCATGAGAAGAGGAATTTTGGCTATAGTAGTGAACTGGATTCTAATTTCAGTCAAGAGATTGGTAATTTTGATGATAGTGAAAAACTGAAGCGGAATTTAAGTCATGAAAAAAGTGCTTTTGGTGAAAAACTAAAACTGAATTTCAATCATGAAACAAGTAGTTTTTGTAATGGTGAGAAACTGACGCCTAATTTTAGTAATGACATGAGCAGTTTTGGCGACAGTGAAAAATTGTTACGATTGGAAAAAAAGCTAAATGTACCTGAGGGTTCTAAAAACCCTTCTTTTTCTGATTATAAGTCAAAAAAATATAAAGACAGTGAATTAAATCAATCAGAAAAAATGAACGCAAAAGTAAAAGAAGTAGAATATTTGTCAAGGGATTTTGATATTAATGAGATTCCATTGCTGTTAGAAAAAAAGTTGAGTGCTTTAAATATACCTGATGGTACCAATAGATTATCTAATTCTGATTATAGTGCAAAAATGAAGCTTATTGAAGCTGAACGAGAAGAACTGAGTAGAAAAAATCCATCTTTTTCAGATGTTTATAGTAATTTAAACTCTGCTATTGATAACATCGTGTTTCAAAAGCTCAACAGTGATAAAAAATTGAAAAAAATAAGATTTTCCTTAACGCCAAGAAAGTCAGGTAAAAAATTAAAGAAATTTGCAGAAAACAGTGATGTTAAAGTTACTCAAATGATAGTGGATCCACAAGAAGGCTCTTCAAAAAAGATTAGACACGTAAGAAGCACCAGCAAAAATATAACTCCAGTTAATATACCAAGCATGGAGTTAAGAAACGATTATTCAAACTCCCGGTTTAACTCTGCTGCTTCTTTAAAATTGATTTCTAGTTCAAATAGAGGTCGTAAACTTCCAAGTGGTCCCATGAGTGTATCTAACGAACTTAGTCCTTATGATTCAATGGAATCAGACTTTTGATTATTGTTCATGACTTTGAATTGTATTATAATGTTCTAAAGCTATTTTTATGGATACATAATAGCATCAAAATTAAAGTTGAAACTGTGAAAAATTTAACTGTTAATTTTGTACTTTGAAATGTTTTAGCAACTTAAAAATAAAAATTTAGAAATTTTTTTTTTGAATATTTGTTTACTTACTATTATTTTTAATTAAAATACACCAGACAAATGCCTGTTGTTATTTGTTTAAAAAGTGCAATTTTTTACCTCAGAGTTTTATTACAGTTTATTGGCCCACCTCCTAGAATTTTGTTTGTCTTTTTTTTTAGAATTTTGTAGGGCATTTTAAAAAGTTTTGAATCAATATCCAATTAAAACTATGAATGGCTATAAAGGCTAAATGGAGTCAATAATAATTAACATGCATGAATTTAGATTACATTGTCCATTAACCTGTGTCAATTGCAAAGGGTAAAATTGTGTTATGACTAAGCTAATAATTATAAGAAAAAAAAAAAAGATTTATTAAAATATTTTTACCAGTTGCAGTTGGTTTCAATCAATTTTTGATACTTGTCATGCCAAAAAGTCAATCCTGCTAAGGATTAGATTTATACCTATACAAACAGGCGGTGGATCCTAAATAGCCCGCTCCTTGGCAATTTTTAAAAATCTTGTCAAACTAAGTTTCCGGAAGATATTTTGGGGAGATTATTTTGAACGTCCGATCAAAATTCTTAAACCTGATTGGTTGTTTGATATGTATACCTATGCGAAAGTTGGATTTCGTTAGGAAAGAGGTAAAAGTGTTTATTTTTTCGCCATTTATACTTTTGATCTCTTGCTGTTAGAATCATCGTTATTATTTTATTTTTTACCCGTTATTTCATTTCTAAAATTTTTTCGGGCTGTACCGGTTGAAAATGGTGAGCGTATGGACGAGTGAATTTTTAACTTAATTGAATGCAAAAGGTAAGAGAGCGATGATTAAATGGTGTATTAATCAAAATTTGATGAATTAAATATGATGAAGTTAATTTGATTTAAAAGATAAGCCATCAGAGTAAAGGTAAGTTATTTTTTATTCTATCAAAAATATTTTTATAAATTTGTAATTTAGTTAGTCTTTTAATAATCAAAAGGCAACTTTGATCCCTTTAATAATTACCAACTTGGTGAGTTTTCAAAAATTAGCCAAGAGGTGGGCTATTCTAGGATTTTGCCCAAACAATTTTAAAAGTGGCTATTGAGAAAGAAAATGTGGCTGCTGATTTTTTACTTCTTATGATTGATTACTAAAAATGTGTTACCCGTTTCATTCTTTAAACAAACAACATTAAAATCATTTAATGCTGTACCTACAGCTGATTCAATACTATGAAAATCACCTAAGATTTAAAGAGCACAAAAGGATGCTTCTGTGGGTGTGTACATTTTTTTTGAAGAATTTCGTTAGTTAAAATTAACCCATGAGCCATAGGTTGTGGATTCTTGGCATATACAAATTAGCTATCTTGTTTCCTTTTTCGAAAACTATAAAAATGTTTTATTCTCTATGGCAAAGATTCTTTTCTTTGTAGTTAATTGACATTGTTCCTAGAGAATTGACATTCATGATAGATCACTATTCCATTTCCTAGTTTTTGAAAAATGAAAATATTTGTTGACAGATGTTTAATACAATGTATTACCAGACTTGAAAACTTTCTGAATTCACATCTCAATTGAAAACTTTCTACAGACAATTTATTTACTCTTGTCACTAGTTTCAGTCCTTTCATTGTCACCTAATTTTGACGAAATTTATTCAAAAGTTACTAATTTTCTTAAACGTGTTTAAATTTTTATAAAACTATAATGATTATTACACATAACAAGCATATATTTCTTTAAATTTAGCAATTTTTTGAAAAGGTTATATTAGTTGTTGACTTAACTTACGAAATTTTTTGTTCTGTTTCCGATTTTCTAAAATTCACAACGGGGTAGAATTGGGGAATTTTGAATTTTTTTTTCTTCATAATATCAAAAAAATTTCCATGCTGTGGGGACAAATTTTCCGCTAATGCCATATGTGTGTCCGAGTATATCATGCAAATCTGTGTATTACTATGTATATTTTTATCTGTTGCTAAGTAGAATTATGTGTCCTATTTCTTTTCAATTTTTGAAAAAAAAAATCTTTTTCAGCTATGTCAACTATCAGTAAAAGGGACAAGAGAAAAAACAAGAAAAAATATTTCCAATCAAAGAAGCAAAAAATAGGAAGATCATTGGAAGCTGGGCTGAAAGGTTTTTTAATAACTTGCAATAATGAACCTCAATGTGTAAAAGAAGCTTATAATGTGTTGAATGAGTTTGCAGATAGTTTTCTTGGACCTGTTGTTAAGGTACTTTTTTTACTTTTTTATTTCATTTTGTCTTGTTCAAAGTGATTATTTCATTGAATGCTGTTTTGAATCCAAACTTTTTATCACAACCATACAAGTTTTTTTTCTTCTTAATAGAATAAAAACTATTGGGCTATTCCACCATTTATTTCCATGCAGATTTTAAAAGTACAAAACTCAGTTTAAATGATCTGAACAGTTATAATAATTTTTGTAAAAATTATCTTGGTATCATTTACATTTTGTTCAATTTTCAACTGTTTACGAAATTAAAAAAAAATTAAAAACTGCATATAATAGATGTAACACAGTATGCTACATCAGTTACAATTAGTATTTCATTTTTAAATTTAAATTTTAGTTTCTAAAAGTTTATGTAAACTAGAGAGATGGTAAATGGCACTTAGAATATTTTTAATTAAAATTATTAGATTTTTGATTGAATTTGCTTGATTTTTTTTTTAAAACTGAGATTTATCCATTTAAAGTCTGCAATTACGATTTTCGTAAATAATAGAAATGCCATATAGTACTCATTTATGTAAATGCTCAGGCAATCCACATTCATATTCAGTAGTCAAAATTAATTCAAATTAAATCTTTATAAAGATTTATTAGATATATATACTTGTAAAAACTTAAAAATTCAAACGTTTTAAAATAAAAATCAGTTATGGTTGAATATTTTAATAAAACTTATTATTTACTGTTACATTTGTGATTAGTAATAAGAATTATTGTTTAATTTTGAACATAAAATAAAATTAGTACTTGTTTTCATATTTTTAACAAGAATAGGTCTGTAAATATATGACCTGAAGGTGTTAAACCCCATAACACCTTGAATAAAATTCTGCTTATAGAGGCTTGAATAGAAAATCCAATTTCTTTTGTAAATTAGGCAAAAATAAGAAAAAGCACATTTTCCAAGCACGAATTGTAGCAATGATAGTGAGAATTTATGTATAGGGGTATATCTACTTCTGTATGTAAATTTTGTTTAAAGATGTGCCTTGTAGCCTTAATTATTTTAATTAAATTATTTGTGAAATTTAAAAGTTATTACTTTTATTTAAGTTTTTAACTTGATGTTGATATTTCAAGCTTTAAATCTTATCACTAAGGATACCTTTTTTAAAATTTATTTTACTTTATAACCGTTCTTGAACAGCTGACCCAATTTTTGTGTTTACGACTACTAATGTTCAACTCTGTAACCTTGTAATTTTGAACCTAATCCTGTAGATAAGGGAACTTCTGGATCAAGTATTGGAAGAAATTTGCCTTCATGGAGGAGTTTTTGATGGAACTAACCGCATTGTGTTACATGGAGAATAAAACTACAAAGAACTCCCACGGTTAGCCTGACGGCAAGGGGATCCTAGCCCATGACCCGTCTATCACTGAGGATATTTTAAGTCAGCACTGTGGTTGGTGCAAGCGGAATTCGTATTGACCGGCCTTCGCTGGGATTGAACCCGGTTCACCTCATTGGAAGGTGAACGCTCTATCTCCTGAGTCACCACGCCTTTTTTTTTAAAAAAAAAAATTTATTATTGTTACATTAATCTGAAAACATCTTAATTTGTCTCAGGTGCCTATGTAGAAAATTGGCATATGGTCCTTTATTGACAACATGCCTGCCAACTCTTGAGGTTTGTGCAAACTATTTTTTCCAGTGGTAGTAAACTAAAGAAGTCAGTTTTAAAACAAATAGAACTGTTATCAAACCTTTATCAGATTTTAAGAGCATTACCATTTGGTTGTCTCATTTTTCATATATCTGTTTAAAGTATTCTAATGTAGTGTTAAAAATTTTTTTTTCTAAATCTAATTAGCAATTCTAATTTGTTAAAATATTTATATAATATTATTGTTACCACTAAGGAAAATATTTTTTAAACTGTAGATTCTGTAATAATTGAAGGGCATGTATCTATCTTAATGTGAGGTTCCTTTACAATTTTTAATTTCTTTTTTTAATTTTTTTAATAAAGTAATTAATTAAGCCAACATGATTAGATCATTAAACTAGATTTATAAGTTTTTGCTTTCTCTAATAATGAAATGTTCTAATGTTAGTCAATTAAAATGTACAGATAATTTCTTGTTAAGAGTTTTTTTTTAAATTTTTATTTATTTTCTTTCTTTTATCTAGAAAATATTAATTTCAAATTTTTGATTTGAATGAATAAAAGAGCAATTCCTGTTTTTATTGTAATTAAAATTTGTATTTACATATCTTTTTGATGCATGAAAATAGAAAGAAGATGATGCTTCTGAGTCCAGTAATGATGATGATGTTGAAGATCAGCTAGCAAAAGAAATACAAATGGTCAAAGAGGAAAAGAAAAGATTTCAACAGATGTCAACAAAAGTGAAAGGAATTATTTTCATCCAAACAACTGTAATTTCTATTTTTGTTTGTTTTCGTAGCAAAAAATAATAATATAACATTTATTTTGGTTGATAACTTAAAATTAAATTATTTAGATATGTTATGTTCATATGCATATGATTGTGTTTACCCTAATGTATCAGATTTAATCACTGACAAACCACATGAAAATATCTTATGTTCTGGACATTAGATAGATTTTATTTGATTTAAGCTCTCTTAAATTCAAATTTTACTTTTTTTTCCAAGATCCAAGACAACAGTTTTTAAAATTCAATTTAGTTCGAATTTTAACCAATTTAAATTGGTTTTACGCTAGTTATTTTAATTTCAACTTAGGTTTCATTTTAGGTTACAAATCTACTTTTTACTCGTTCAAAATTAGAACTTTTGAGGTATGAAAATTTGTATAGTGGTGGTAGAAATAAATCAGGGATACACAACCAATTTTGGATTGCACGCCACCAGTTCCATGTTAGGAGTCCACATTCAAATAAAGCTATTTTCCTTAAAATGCAGAGTGATTTAATTTGAAAGTAAAATTAACGACTTATACATGCATAACTAAATTTCTTAGAGGCATATGATAAAAATCAAAATATTTAAATGAAAAATACTTAATATAAATGAATCAAAACAGATGCAGTTATGAGCACAATATTAAGAGAAATAAAAGAGATTTACAAATTTTCATTTACCTCAAGAGTAAACCTTTAATTTATTTACCAAAATAAAATTTTTTTTACTCTTATTTAGTAATCAGACTAATGTGATGGTTGTGATTTCAATTTTGAAGCTATACTAAATTCATTTTTTTTTTTTAGCAATTTCGGAATTTTTTTCCAGAATATACATTTGTTTTTAACTCTTCAATTCTAGAAATTTTCTCAATTTATTTTTTCAAATTCATAAGATTTACTAAAAACTGAACCCAGTGCCATAAACAAAACTTATTAAATTAAATGGTTATAATTTGGTGATTCGAGAAAGACTGAATCAGATCAGTAACTTACTGTTGCATAGCATAGCTGTAAAAAGATTTCTATTTTTTATTTTATTTTCTTATGAATATTTAAGACAGTTCATTTGCTAAGTCCAAATGCTTCAGGCACTCCTAACCAAATTTCAGGACGCTAGCACGAATAGTAATCGTGTTATAAGAGAGGCACACACACTTAAACTCTTCTTTTTTATTTTATTGAGACTTATGTATATTTACTCTTTTGTTCGCACGAAAACATTTCAAAAATGTGTTATTCTAGTGTTAAATGTCTTTCTATTATTCGATACCATGTTTAAGATCGTGATATAAAGTTATTATATTTATAAAGTGAGTGGATGAAGGAAGTATTATACAAAAATATTACAAAAGTGAACAATAGGGGTGAGGGGCTCAGGAGAGGGTTAACTTTAAACCATTTTAATTTAGTCTTAATAATTTAATTAAGATTATTGATATTAATAATCTGATTTACATTGTTTACGCTATTAATGTCTACAGGAGCATTAATTTAAAACAATTTTAATCTTATCTTAATAATATAATTTAGATCATTGATCTTAATTATTTGATTCATATTGTTAATACCCTGTATTAATGTCTAGGAGAGGGCTAACTTAAAACCATTTTAATTTGATTAAGATCATTAAACTTTTTAATTTGACATCGGTAACATTTTGTATCAACTTTAAAAAAAACATTTTACAGGATTTATTTTATTATAATTTTCTTGTTTCATGTATTTCTTACTTTTCTAAAAATATATATAATATGATTTAATTTTTCAATGTGAGGCATTGCTTATTCTATTAGCTTTTCAACAAGAAATTATGTTAAAATTAATTAAGAAATTAAGTCAATCTAATAAAATTATCTTATAAAAAGTCAAAATTGTACACTGGTAAAATTCACAACAAACTTACTTTTGGTTATGATACCAGTGTGTTTAATCAAATCACATAAATATAAACTTTAGAGAAATTTAAGTTGTTTAGTTTTAAGTAAGTTAAATTTTAAATGTGCACTTGAGTAAATCTAGTAATTCATGAAAATCTTAAAAGAAAAACAAGCTTAGTTACTTTTTGAAAACTTAGAATTTCTATTTTAGATTGATAATCTTTTATTCTAGAATATGTTATGGGAAGCTGTATGTATAAAATAATTATTTTGCCAAAATTTTAAAAATTAAAAAAACATTTTGTTAAATATTTTCCTGGTAAACTCTAATTCATTTACTTGTTACTTAATATGTTCATTATCTTCCTTCTTTCCTCAAATGAATTACATTAGAAATTAATTTACAATTGAACATTCCCATTGTTCATTTTATTATCTTCCTTATTTTCTTAATTTATATGTCACTTGTTCATTTTATCTTTTATACTTTCCAAAATAAATTTACATTTTTATCATCTTTTAGATTTTTGCAAATGGATTTGCATGTCAGTTAATGAGTTTACCTAAGCTTTTCAGTTATTAAATAATTATTACTAAACAAACTCCGATTTAGCCTCTTTTCCACCATTGCACTGGAATGATTATTATTAAAAAATCAAATATTTATTAGTTTTATGAATTAATAATTAATTTTCTAATTAATATTACATTTGATTTTAGATAGATGATCCTACATCGTTAGTCAATGCCATATTTGATGATGTTCTGCAAACAGGAAAAAGAAAAGCCAGATATATTTTGAAGTTCCTACCAGTTGTCGAAACTTGCAAAGCATCTGAGGAGGACATCCAAAAATCTGTCACCAATTATTTAATTAATTTTGTTAGCATCAAAGGCAACGATGTACTAACTTACAAAATCGATCCCAAAGTTCGTCATAACAGTAATATCACGTCCTCTCATATTCTTTCGTACTTGAGAGGGGTTTTTGAAAAATGTGTTCCCCTTTGGAAAGTCAGTATGCTAAATCCAGATGTAGTTGTTTCTGTGACTATTTTAAAATCTGTGTGCTGTATTAGCTTTTTAAAAAATTATATGAACTATAAAAAATATAATTTATCAGAAGTAGCTAATGTCTCTAGACCACCAGATTCCCAACCTGCGCTAACGAATAAAACTGATGTGAAAGAAAAAAGTGGTGTCCTTGATGAAGAAATATCTTCAGATTTACATCCTAAACTTACGAATGTAGCTAGTGAAGATAAAAAAGAAAGTGATGCTCTTGAATAAATTAGATTTGTTAGAAATATTTGGCTGCTGTTTATGTTGTAATTGGTGGTAAAATGTCCAAATGAAATGTACCTGTGAGAGATGGTCGAGACTACCGATATTATTTCGTATTTTAGCATTACAGAAATTTTTTAGAAACAATGGGAAAGTGCAATTTTTTTGCATTTTTTAAAAAAAGAACTCTATTTCTAATAATTCTCTGTAGAACTCTATTTGTAATAACGTTTGCAATTTGCAACATTCTATTTTTTTTCCGTATAAATCAATTTTTTTATTTTTAAAATGTTAATAATTATTTTGAAATATTCATTTAATTATATTTCAGATTAACTAAGCATAATAATAAACTAAATATTATTTCTGATTTTTCTTATGATAGAAAGTTAATTAGCAGAACTTAGGTTTTTTGTGTGTGAATTCTTTTACTAAAGCATACATATTATATTTTTATAATATATGTACTACATATTAAAGCATTAGAGTAGCACATTTTAATGCATTTATAAATAATGCATAGTTCTATAATAAAAGCAAATCGTCATGAAAATAGTTTACAGGATAAGTCATACCAAAAGTAAAATTGTTTTACATTACGAACAAAATGTAGTTTTATCCATGACTCTTAAAAGTTTTCAGTTTAATTTTTGTTTGAGAAGGATTTTAAGTCACAAGTGAAATTAGAGAATACTTTTATTTAAAGAACTGATATATATTTTTACCCAAACAATAAAAAAGTAAAGCTGGTGAAAAAAAAAAGAAGTGTAGGTAACTTAGTTTTTTCTATCACTAGAAAAAATTGAGTTGATGCATGTCATTTGAATTACTTAGCATTTGATTTACATAAGCATGCTTTTTGTAATTGGATCTGAGTTTACTTTTTTAAAAGAAATTTATTTAGTCAATTAAAGTGAGTGCTAAAAATTATTTGTCATATTGCCCTTTTTCACTACAAAAAATATTGGAATCTAGCACTTGACCAGAAAAAACGTTTTAGCTCAGAAACAATTGCATCATCAAATTCATTGTTCTTTAACTTAGGGGGAGAATATAGTTTCCAAATTCAATGATAATTGAATATAATGTTCCAATTTTCAATGAAAAATCATAAAGATTGGCATTCAAAGATATGGTATTGTTTCTTCCCTAAAAAGTTCTTAGTAATTTTGAAATGACTGTACTGATTTCTAACATTTATCATAATGACAGAGTATAATAATTGCTAGTGCTTAACTATTTACGTTTTGCATTGTTAAGAGCTTTTTAAGTTAGACTAATAATGATTACAGAGCACTTTAGTGTGTGTTGCATAAAATTGCTAAAATAATCTAAAAACAAACAAAATAATCAATTCTTTTATTTAAAATAAATAACAATTTTAAATAATATAACTTAAAAAATTTACAATGCTTATTTTTACAATATATTTCCTATAGGGTGGTAATTCAACGTGTGTGTGCGTGAAAAAGAAATTTAAAAATCCTAAATAAATTCTATGCCTTCAAATTTATATTTACTAATCTCAGTCTCAGGCATCCATATTTCTCCATCCAACGTAAAAGCTGTAATGAAAGTGGCAATCTGTCCTTCATTTTCTTCTGTTTTTAAAGCAATTATAACAGAATCAGAAGTACCAGGTATAAACTTGAAAGAAGAAAATCCATGTGTTGGTATGAGAGGTCCAATTGTGCTTAGGGAGATTTGAGTAAAGTCCTCATTGGCTTTCAAGAGTAAGTTGGTACCTTTCTTTTCATCTTCTTTGTCATTGTAGATGGTAGGGCTGGATCTTCTTGGCAGGAAAAACCAATGTTTATGAATTTCACTCCATGCTGCGGCTTCATGAATCATATAACCTGAATTAAATGAAGAAAAGTTAGATAAGGATGGCCACAGAAAAATGCCTGAGAAAAAACAGCAGAAAGCCACAGCCTAAGAAAAAAAATTCTTAGGCTGATTTTATCAAACTTCCCTGATTTTTATAACCAGTGGAATAAATTTTATGAATAATTATTCAGTTATGTCTTATTCTTATACAACAAATATATTACCATACACTTTTAAGTTAGCGATACGAGTTGAAAATAAATAATTAAAAATAATTTACAAAACCAATTTTCTAAAAAAAAAAAAAACTTCTGATATATTTAATATAAATTCTCTGATATTTCCTTTATTTTTTCACTTTTTTAAATTTTCTGTTCAGCTTTGTGTTGTTAACGTTTCGTGAAGTGGTTATGTACTACAAGATGAACGTGAGACAAAGAATTAAATTTTACTTGAATCATTGTTAAAATTTGATTGCACAAAGAATGATAATTAGAGCATTTTTAACATACAATTTATATAATTTTTTAAAGGTTTTGAGAGGGATCTTAAAACCATATTTAAATTCCAAGCCCTTTTAGTGAAATTTTAAGGCAGCAAGAAAAATACTTGAGGAGCGGAAAATAGAATAAAATGATATATAAAATAGAGTATGTGAGTTACATCTTTGTCAAATAAACTAATTTTTCTTTCATAAAAATAAAAGACTCTATTTAAGAGCTTAATCTTAGTAGAACACGCTCAATGATGTTTTTGTGAATTTGGAAAAAATCAGCCTTCAATGTATAAAACACCAGGAAACAATTTACATAAGACTTGTTTCAATTGATTATATTATATTATTGATAGTTGTTAATTGATCAACTTTTAATTAAGCATTAACATAGCTAATAATGTTATGTATAACTTATATCAACTATATTATAACTATATAACAATATTATGACTTATGCCAACTATAACTTAAAAAAAACAACAATTGTTTTCGAATTGCCACTTAACATGCTTCTCCAGTAAGGTATAGAGCAAATAATTACAAACATTGCATAAGTAAATACTGCAAATAATTACTCATATTATGAGTTATGAAGCAGATCAGAGGTGTAGTTGAGGGGGTACTTGGAAGAATGTAGTACTACTTCCATTGATTTTTCGATAAAATAGCATTTTTCACTAATTTCTCAATGGTAATGGTTTTTATTAATGGCAATTGTTTTTTATTTATTGTAAAGTTTATTAATTTTTGAAGTTGTTGTGTGATGAATTTTTTTATTCTTTTAAAGTTTTATAAAAAGTAGTTCTATATGCAATATCATATTTTTGCAGTAGACATATTTGACTGAACATATTTGAGTACTGAAGTCATCTGCCAATGACCCATATTCTTAAAATACCCTTTTCCATCCCAGCTGATAACATAAATTCAGAAGAACAATTCTAAATAAAATGGGAAAATCTTACTTTAAATTGGTCATAGTTTAAATAATTTTAAACCAAATACAGTTATAAAGAAAAGTTTCATTTAACTTGATTCAATTTTTATTTAATTTATTATTTTTTTTAAAATATTTTAAATTTGGTTGGTCTTCTGCTTGAATCTTAATGTATTCCAATAGTGTTTACATGATACAAAATATTGTTAAAAAAATAATGTTGGAGTTTTTAGTGATCTCCCACTGAAAATTTCACCACAAAACTGATTAAAATTATTATAAAAGGAATATGAGCTATAGTGTGAATAATAGTAAATATTAGGTGAGTTATATTGCAAATAATTACAAACCAGGAAATTCTATGTTTGCTGATCTTCGAAGACTTAGGTAGTTATTTCTCCAATCTTTATGTTCAACTTCACCAAGTGGTGAAATAACTTTTACCCATTGGGGATTGAAATTAAGTAGCTTTCCTTTAGATGAAGTCCATTCTTTTCCCAGTCCTCCCACATAGAGATGTTGATTTTTCACAGTGGCCCATTCACATTTGAAGCCTATTACAGAAAATGAATAAAATATTTGATGAAAATACTTATAAAAATAGAATTAATTATTATAAACCGTTTATATTTTTCTAATGGACATTTCGAGGAAAAAAAAGATTAAAAACTTTAATTAGATAATAAATATTTACCGGAGTTCACAAAAATGAAAAATTTTTACGAGTCATTATAGACTGTTTTTTCACTTCTATACAAAAAAGAATAAAATATTTGATAAAAATGCACATAAAAAATTGAACTGATGAAAGTTTAAATTAAATTGCATAAAAATGTGTCACACATATTATAATTTTTTATTTTATTTATCTTTTACAAATAAACATTTTGAATAGACAAAAGAAATTTGAAAGCTTTAATAAATTAATTATTAACAGGAATCTACAAAAATGAAAATTTTTTCGGAGCCATTATAAGCTGTGTTTTTTATTTCTATTTTCCAAATAAACATTTTTGAAAAAAAAGAAACTTGAAAATTTGAATTTAATAAATTAACTATGTACAGTTTACAAAAATAAAAAAATTTCTAGAAGTTGGCATGTTATAGAATGGAGAATAGTGCAACAGCTTTTTGCTTTTACTTTCCATTCTTCTAAAATATTACTCTAAAATATATAGTAAAAATATTATATTATTGTTAATATTTTCAAACATATTAATTGTATAGTATTATTAGTATTTCAGTATTATATGATATTGAAAAATTATTAGCTATGATTTTAAGCAATTGGCATTTATAGATCTCTGATTATTATGTTTAGAAGAAATTGTTAAATTTGAGCTATATATGAAACAGTCTGAAAAAAGCATAAATATTATCACAGAAACAATTATACATGGGCCATGGTAGCCCAGTGGTTAGAGAATCGGAGGTAGAGGTTCGATCCTCGACTCTGTTAGACTCGAGTAAATGCGATGCACATGCTCGTAAAATCTGTAAAATCGGAAATCCTGTGATTTGTCACTGAGCATTACCATGGGTACAGGGATCTCGAGAAAATTTCCTTCCCCTTCGGATCTATGCTTAACTCACTGGCGGTTAAGGAAATGGGCAAAATTGGGAGAATGTTTCTCCCCTACACACAGTTTCCCTATCAATTAACATGGGAAAACCGGTTTTGCTATGCAGAGAAGACTGCAGGTTAAAATGCGACTTTTTACGTGCAGAACCGTCAGTGGGTTAAATTGAGGAAGTGGCCCCATGAATGAGAGGTGCTGCCGTCTATCCATGAGGTTCAACACTAAGACGTAATTTCCCCATTGCGGTGCTCTCTCATCAAACGAAAGACATACATTCTTGACTTAAGGCCAAAGGCTGATGAGCTTGAAGTTATTAGAAACAACATAAACATACTATAGTTTGGTTTGATAATGAAGAACTTTTATCGGTATCCGAACACAGCTGTATTTCTGTGACTATTTATAGCTTTTAAAACAAGCAAACTTAGTAAATGTCACAATTTTTTTAATATTAAAATTTATAAGTGATCAAACTTCAAATAATGATGGGCAGTTCTATCACAATTCCTGTACAGGACCCATACAAATTAACTGATCAATTCAATCATGAAAAGTATTTTGCAAAGATGTACCTCAGTCTGAAATGTCTTTGTTGCATTTGACATAGAAGTGTCCTGACAGATAGTATTCTTAAAAGGGAACTTTTTACAATTTTATTTAATTCAAATTAATAATTTTTACAGCTTGTCCATGTCACTTTAATTATTGCAATTATTTTTAAAATCCCACCCATTGATGCCTTAACAAGGTTTGATTGCACTTCAGAAAAATACACTAAAAGCACAATGCTGTGACCTTGGATTAAATTTATGATTCAGCATATTACAAGATTTGATGAAGATAAATTATTTGGGATTACAAAGCAATATATATATATATTTTTACTTCAAATCATAATCTAAAATCAGTTACTTCCTTATTACAAAAGTGAAACTGTTATTTGTTTGATTTATATTAAAATAGAATGCAACTTAATTTGAGAAACCGATGGTGCAGACATAAAATATAATTCGAATTATTTCTTATTACTTCTTCATAAGAATTTTTTAAGATAGTGATCTATAAGCGGTGAGAAATAAAAATATTTTTTATTCTAAATTATTTCAACTTTTTCTTGTGAAAGAATGAAATTTATTTAATTTTTCTAATTGTTATATCTACTTCTTTAAATTTTACAAAATTCTTTGAAATACATTCAGTTTGAACTTTTTGAGATAGCAGAAATAAAAATAAATAAAGTGAAAAAAAAAACATAAGTTAACAAATAAAAAATAAATTTAGTACAAATAAATGAATTAAAGAAAATAAACATCAAAAGATTTAAATCTTTTAACATAAATAGTATATACATATTTGTGAAATTTTAACATTTTAATTTCTGTGTCTTTTTAAAGTTTGTTGAAATTATATAGAAAAACAATTCAAAATTTCTTATGCAACTCAGGTATTTTTTACCAACAATTTTTATATGGTAGATAGTTGATGTCATATTTATCATTTGTATTGTAAAATTTTAAAAGATACTGATATTAAAAAAATATGCTCATTTCTTATTTATAATTGGTAAGTATTATTTATTAAAACTTCACTTTGAAAAGAAATATATTAAACTAGTCAAATATCTGAAAATAGAAATGGCAAATCAAATATAAAAAATGTATTTGGACTGTTTTTGAAAAATGTACTTGTATTTTGTTAAAATTAAAATGTATTCAATTTTAACAAAATTCATAGTTAAACAAAATCAGATAAGATAATATTATGAAAATCACATGGCATGTCAAAATCAGCCGACAAACTTTTTAAAATTTGCATAAAAATAAAAATTGAGCGCAAAAAAATAATATCACAACAATTAATTAAAGAACAAAAATACAGGAAAAAAAATGAACGATCTAATGCTAGTCATTGGAAAGCGAAAGATTTCTAATCACTTCCAGAGGTGGAAATTTTCCACTTTCACTTGTCTAGGTTTAGAAGCAACTGTCGGAAGCTTGCTTTGTTAAAAAATTACTCTAGATCTAAATTAGACGAGATGATCAACCTATTGAGAAAGTAAAGCTTATTTTTTCCAAGTCAAACTTAACTCATGAAAGACTTTACTTATGCGTGAGAACTTGTTTTTTCCCGATTGTAGTTTTATAATCTATAATCATCTTAAGTGAAAACTTTGTTTAAACTCAATAAGAGGGGAAAAAATGGTTTTAATAGTTACAGTGCTCAATAAAGAATAAAATTAAGTGCCTCTAATTAACTCAGAATACATAGTACTACAAATTATTTTAGATTATAGCCATATTACAAAAAAATAAATAAAATAAACTAATTCAATATCAAAAGTAACAGGCTGTGCACCTTAGTATCTTAACTCTAAAAATGAAAAGAAATACCTTTCGGAATCTTCCCATTCCCATCCGTAAGTAGTATCCATGGAATAGCCTTGTTTTCTTTTAGCTCATAAATGATACCAGTACGATCATCAAAAGCGAGTACTTTGCCGTTAAAAACAACCAATTCTGAAAGCTCCATACCCCGACCATTTTCTGACAGAGTAGACTTCAAAATAACAGGCTCTGGATCCCATTCAACACTGACATACTTTCTTGATGTGTCTATAGTTAAAAATCCTCTTTTTAAATAACTTGTCCAAGTGTAATTTTTTTGCTTATCTTTAGAATCAGTGTCTAAATCTGAAATTATTGCTATTCTGTAACGAATTCCTTTAGGTGTTGTTGAAGGGTTAGTCAATGGGTAAGTTGAATTATATGACCAACATTTTGGCTTGACTTCAGTTACATGCAGGTGGCCATGTTCATCATGATGATGAATATCACTGACCATTTGTCGATGCCTGGTATAAGGTAAAATGGCATACAAGAGTATTAAGAAAGAAACACCAATTATAGCTACCCCAACTACAAATTGAGTTTGTATTCGCAGAGTGGAATTTCCCACTCTGTATGCTGTTGGCATTCGAACGGCTTGGCGCCAGTCTTTTATTGAAGGGTGCATTATTTAACTTCACTAAGTTTTCTTCTGAATTTCCATTTCATTACTTAGTCTTTGATCTAAAAGGAGTGTAGTGCAAAGATCAGCAAACAAATGCAATATTTTAAAATCTTAATAACAGTAATAATACTTTTAATACAGTAATAATTTTTTGAGAAAAATTATTAATAACAAATTTGCACTTAGACCAAAAATGTATAATTTAAGAAACATATAATTTTGAATAAAATATTTAAGGTCATATAATAATAATTTTTAGTTATTTGCAATAAGTTTATTCACTTTCGAAATTTGTTTATTTTAAGTGTTAATACAAGTCACAAAATATCTTGGACTAACCTTTAGTTTTAAAATATAGGAAATAGGTTTACATTCAAACATGAAAAACAAATGAAATTAATTTAAGTATAAAATAAAGAAAAATAATATATCAATAATATTATATAATATTACATTGAAATCTAGCCTATGCTAGTGTTAAAAAAATAGCTATATGATATATCTAGCTTTTTGTCAATGCCGTGTCTCCACTAAAGATAAAAATAAATAAATAAGTAAAATCTAGTTTATTGAGAAGAAATTTAGCAGATGCAATTCTAAATTAGTTTTAGGATCTAAGGTAGGGGTGCACAACCTTTTTCAGTGAAGGGCCACATGCATAGCAGATTGACCAATGAAGGGCCGCATGCCAAAGTGTTTAGACCGACATATTGAAAGCAATTGTTGGTTGTGATTGTTATATAAACATCATTGTTTTTATAACACTAAATTCTTTTTGTCAGTTAACCTTGTAATCTCTTTGCAGAAAATACAATACTTTAAAACGTTTAAAATTAGAAAATGCAAAACTGATTACTTAAGAAGGAAAACAGAATTCGAAAATCAGAATCAATTTATCAGAAAAAATTTAGATAAATTGAAATAATTAAAAAACTATGGAAAAATTGAAATTTTTTTTATCACATTACAAAATACAAAAGTCCATTTAAACATAAATTTTAACGTTAATTTTTTTTTCATAGAATTAAATTTCAAATAAATAAATATTCTAGTCATTAATATAAATTCAAGTTAAATACTTTGATTTAAAGAAAGTTTATAGGGTTAAAAATGATTAAAACTAAAACTAAACCCCTTAAGTGGAAAATAAGACTTAGCATTTATTAGGGAATGTACTTTATCTTTCAGACATTTTTATTTTAAATTAATAATAAGAGGCTAAGAGAGGGAAGAAAAAGAAAGAAGAAAACACATTAAATTTTAAGGAACTATATTCCTTAATAATAAAAAACTATTAAGATACTTGTTTACAACTTTTTATGACGAATATATTTTTAACATGACACTTACTATTTACAATTAATACACAATCAATTAACAATCAATAAAATTTACATTACTTTTCGAAACTTATCTTGATTAAATTTTTTATACAGTTAAAATTTAATGATATACAAATCATTTCCCAGCATATAATCATAAATGATATAAAATGCTCCAAGAAGATAGAAAATGGTTTAAAAAATTTCTTAATGGTTACACTGTAATTTGCAAAATTTTTGAATATTGTGATAATTTTATATACTTGATCATGTGATATTTTTTGAGCCATTAAATGAAAATGTAATGATTGTATTTAAAGACTACTCTGTAATTTTGAACAGGCCAAATTCATTCTGGAAAACAGTCTTTCGACAAAAGCTGTTGTTGTGGGTAGTATTAAACTTAGAGCAAATAACATAATCAGTTTTGGAATTTGTCCTAGATGGTGTTCTTCCTTTCTGGGTTTTTAAATCGCGGAAATACAAATAGCGATGTGTTATTTTTTAATTGCTTGAATACGAATTGCTATGTGTTATTTTTTAATTGCTTGAATACGAATTGCCATGTGTGATTTTTAAATTGCGTAAATAATAAACTCGATGCTTGTTTTTCAAATCGCGTGAATACGAATCGTGTGGCTTTTAAATTGCGAAAGGACTACTCACAACACTTGATTTTTAAAATGCATGAATATGAATCGCGATATATGGTTTTTAAAACGCGTGCATATGAATTGCGAGAAAAGTAGCAACGGATGATATTTTAAACGCCAGAACACGAATCGCGATATGTGATTTTAAATCCCGTAAATACGAAACGCGATGGATTATTTTTAAATCTCGTTAATGTTAATACGAAATGCGATGCGCAATTTTCAGATAGCGTAAATACAAATTACGATGTATGACTTTTAAATTACATGTGACAACAAAAAGAATAGGTTCGATGTGTGTTGTTAAACTTGCACGTGTTCATGGGACTAAAGAATTATGCCGTGTTTTGAATTATTTTTTTTGCAAAACGGACCGCGTTTAATATAAACACATCTCGTTTTTTTTTCCTGGGAAGGTGTTGATTTGGCTAAGATACGTAATTACTTTTTAAGTTACGAAAAAAAATTAAAACTGAATCGAATTTCACGAGTTGTAATATTGTGTGAAAATATCAGGTATATTCTAAATCACAAATAAAAATGCAGCAATAACGGGAAAGAAGAAAAAACACGTTCGAAAAACCTCTTAAAAAATGCGTGTTAAAATCGGTACAACGCAAATGATAAAATCGGCACAAACAGAGCACGTAAAAAATAATTATTTTAATGCGCGATTCAAAACTCGCTTGCTGTCAAACCATAGTATTAAAAATATCATAATCTTTTTAAATCACGGGGAAAACGTAATAACTACTAAAACAATAACCAAAATACTTTAATATTTTAGATGAAATTGGAGTAAATAAAGTCCATCAAAATTTTATGTAATTTAAATGCGAGATTTGAAATTAAAATGTCGCAATAGCGTATAAAAAATATCGGTACTTTCAAAACCTTGTAGAAATGTGTAGCAATAATTTCTAAAATAACGATTGAAAAATAATTTGATTTGCGATAAAATCGTTACAAATAAGCCATGTCAAAAAATGGTTATCTAAATGAGCGATTCTTTACTCGCGATTCGTAATAATATCGTGCTAAAATATCGAAGTTTTAAAAACCGGGCGGAAATGTGCAGCAATAACTGTTGAAGAAAGGATCTAAAGTCATTTAGATTTTCCATGAAGTTTGCACAAATAAAGCGTTTCATAACTTTCAAAAATCGCTATTTCAGAAACTACTTGAAAATGGGTAGCAATAACTACCGAAAAGTCATTGGAATCGGCACATACGAAAAGCGTCAAAAGTGGTAATTAAAATTCGTAAATCGTAATAATGATGTATTAAAAATATTGCGATTTTTAAAACTATGCTGAAATCCGTACCGTTAACCATCGAAAAACTACACTGATTGAGATTGGGTGCGTCAAAAACTTAAAAGTGTAAATTTAAATTACCGAATTTTTTTTATTATTTTTCAAAAACAAATATTTAATTTTTTTCTCTTCATTTTGTTCAGATTGCTGCCGCGGGCCGCACATCGAGGGTTGGCGGGCCGCATTTGGCCCGCGGGCCGCAGGTTGAGCACCCCTAATCTAAGGTTAAATAATAAGCTAATGAATTAAATTCAAAATGTAGAGAAAAAATTACAGAACAACGAAAAAAGGGAAAAAGAAAAATGATAATAAAAAGGGAAAAAATTAATAAAAATCCGGAAAATAAAAGATATAAACACTACTTTTTGCAGATATAATCGTTTGAGCTGATTAAAAGATTATATAATTTATTTCCCTGATTTTCACCAATTTTTTATTATTTTTCTTTCCCCCCCTTTTTCATTGTTCTGCAATTTTTCCCATGTTTTCTCAACATTTTGAACCTATTTTATGAGTTCCATTTACTTGCAGCTTATGCGCAGTAAATATAACTTATTGTTTTTTTTAATTTTCTTTGTTTTTTTCCTTCGTTTTTGCATACATTTATTATGCTATATATAAATATAAAACATGAAATTTCATAATATAAAAGTTGGAAGGCAATTGAAAGTTAAGAAGCAACAAGTGTATTCAATTTGTGTATGTGTTATGGTTTGATTGATTGATTGATGGTTTAATTGACTATATAATTCTAAAGAATAAAACAGGCTTTTTTGACTTCACATTAGTATTATTGTTTACTTTGAAGAAACTTATTATTATTCAGTACATTTGGTTACCCATCATTAATTTTATTTATAATCATAATAAGATTTTATTATAGCATATACTAGTATTATTTCAAATGTAAGCAAAATTAACTTTTAAATAATTTAAATTATTAAATAATTACTTAAATATAAAATTTAAAAAATTAACTGACCTTTCATAAATTACAGTTTTAAAGGTGCATCAGAAGTTTGATATAACTGCTTACATTATTGTTTACTTTGAATTGTTGCACATGTAAGCAAAAATAATATCTATTAAACATTAAAGAATTTGTCTTGTATAATTTGTATATATTTGTCATGACCCAATCGTATTGTATACTCAGGTCATTTTGCCCCATGGTCTATAAGTTATAATATTATCTGAATTGAAGGTTGAATTACCTCAGTATAAAATAAAAATAATAACTAACTTCTTTCAAATGTCAATTTTTGGGGAACACTTTAAACGGTTTTTAATGTAAAGAAAATCATTTCTTATTTGTTAACTAAGTAATATTCCATTTAATTTAAACTAATTTTAAGGAAAACTATAGTTTAATTGGAACAATGAATAATAATATACACAATAATAATAATAAAAAACACTAAAAAAATAAATAATACTTAAAATTAAATATTTACAAATTTGATTCATTTTCAAAAGAGCATCTAACTAAAAAAAGTGGCAATTCTTAAGATAATTGTTTATATTTTAAGGTTTTATATAAGAAGCAAATTTAAATGATTATTTTGAACTCATTTTAAAATCTATTAACATTAAAAAAATTTAACTTATCCACATGAAAATTTTTTAAAATTAAATCAGGAAAAATACAATGTTTTTAAAAAATCACATTTTTAAAGAAAGGGAATCTGAAACCAAGAAAAATCATCAAAGAATCTAACAATTCAAACATCAACATCAAAAAATAAAATAATAGAATTTCATAATATTCATAAAAATCTTACAAATGAAATAATATCTGAAAAAATTGGAATACAAACATGTCATACGGTGACAAATAAACGTAAGAAAAAGGATATTGATTGATTGGTTATCATTTAAATCAACAACAAAACTTCTTCTGCTTATGAAACATTGATTTTATCATTAATGCTCCATCATTTACTTTATGAGCGAAAAATTATATTACTATCCAAAATGAAGATTACTATTATAAAAAATATTATTTCATGCTGCTGATATTTATTTTTTCATTTTGTCTATACATTTATTTTGCTGAACTCAGTGTGAGGATCATTAGTGAGTCTAATCATCAACGTGTACAAGTTTCATTTTGTTCGATATATTACACTTTTAAAACCGTATGCTACTTCTACGTCGCAAAATCTAATTGTTAGTTAGTTATTATGAACGCATAAGTTGAATAAGTTGATTAAATGGAATCAGAAGGAAATGTCAGATTTGCAGGCCGGAAAACAAAACAAACATCTAAAGACAGCGAAAACCCCTAATGTTAAATCATAGAAATCGCACAGTTTTGCCTGAGGGCTTCTTGCAGTGGAAGATGACTAAGATGATAAACCAAACCAGTTTTTATAGCGCATGCGCATTGATGCGATTGTTCTCCCTCCTGCATCACTCCTCCCCCGTAGTACTATGCTGAACGTGAGCTGTGAATTTTGGTAAGTGGAAATTTTATAAATATTAGATTTTATTATTATTTAATATTAGATTTAATTATTCAATCTAGATTATAAAATTAAGTTGATCGGGTTTTTAATTAAGTGATCTTAAATTTACTCATTTTTTTTATCCTCTGTGTGTTCTTCGTGGATATTTCTTTTAATCCTTGTGGTAGCAACTCAATCATAAGATACATATTATTTTTTATTTACAATTTAGAATTATTGTGATTACCCATGTGGTTTTTATTTTATGATTTAAAACATTTAAGATAGTGATCTTTAATGAACTTATTTTTATCTCTTAGTGTTCTTTCCTTAATTCATGTAGGATTTTAATCACTTTCACCTCTTTAGTGTTGTAATAAATTTTATTCCTCAAATCTCACATGTTTTTAAAATTATAGTTATATATTTTTACTAATTACTGTGTGAGGTATTATTCATTTTAAAATTTATACTGAGAATATTTCTTTTAATCCATGTGGCTACAACTCAATCATATGATATATACTATTTTTCATTTAAAATTTAGAACTATTAAAATTATGATTGTGATAACGCATGTGGATTTTATTCTAAGGTTTTAAACTATTAAGATAGTGATCTTAAATATACTTATTTTTATCTCTTAGTGTTCTTTCCTTAATTCATGTAGGATTTTAATCACTTTCACCTCTTTAGTGTTGTAATAAATTTTATTCCGCAAATCTCACATGTTTTTAAAATAATTGTAATATATTTTTACTATTAATGTGCTAGGTGTTATTCAGTTTAAAATTTATACTGAGAATATTTCTTTTTAATCAATCGTTACAATCGTCCATGTCTACAACTCAATCATTATGATGATTTACCTATTCATTTAAAATTTAGAACTATTAAAATTATGATTGTGATAACCCATGTGGATTTTATTTTAAGGTTTTAAACTATTAAGATAGTGATCTTAAATATTGAATGCAACTACTCACTCATATGATAGATTTTTTTAAAATTGAGATTTAGAACTATTATAATTATTTTGATTTGTAATAATAATATGTTTGTTTTAAATAAATCAATATTTTTTTCCACTAAGTGCTTTTTCCTTAATTCTTGTTAATGTATTTGAATTTATTTTAATATGTGACTAATAATTATGGTACTTTTTTTAAAACAGGACTAAAGCTTGACCATTGAAAGATATTTAGCTGTTTGAGGTGATCAACCAAGAGGATAAAACTAAAGTATGCATGAGGTTTTTCAATTTCTTGGTTATTATCTGTTATAGATCTGTTGTAGTATTTATTATGATTAAAATAAAATCTTTCAGTAAGTTACTCATGTGGAATTTCAATCATTTTTACAGTTTTGTTGTTATGATGATTTTTATTTCGCCGTTCTTATTTAGGTTTAAGATTATCCCATTATTATTCACTTTTTTTTAATTCATAAAGGAGAGGGATAAGGGTTTATTGTTGTATGATTGAACATATGTATTTAAATGAAAGTATTTTACTAACCTAATTATAGTTTTCTTTTTAATTTTTTTTTAAGAAAAGCTGAATTGAGGTTTAGCAGTTTTTGTCTGATTGGATGTGATTGTCAAAGAAGATGGGATTAAAGTAAGTAAAAGGTATTACAATTTTTTGGTTATTATCTATTGTTTAATAATTCTTTTGTTTGCATTAATCGAATGGCTGTTTTGATGTTTCTAGAAGGTTACGTAATATTTTGTGTATATTGTAATAGAAAAGGTCATTGAATTTACTATATAAAAAATATTATATTTAATGTATAAAAAATGATTGTGTGTATTTACTCAGGTTAGTTGAAATTATATAGATATAGTTAGTAATAATCATACGTGGTTTAAAAAGATCAGCTGCTAGATGAATTGTGTGTAGGTAATCTGTTATGTTTATAAATCAATTGTGGCATCAAAAGCTGTGATCTAAAAGGAAAATTTGCAGGTGCCAAGTGTTAGAGTTCTATGTTTGAGAAGATTCTTCTAAAGTTCTAAGATTGCTCAGATTGTGTAATTACAGCTAACATAATTATAACTGATATATTATGAGGTGTAGTGTGTTCTCAGATGAGAGCAAATAATAATTTATGTATGTAAAACTGAAAAGAGAATTGCATTCATGTTTCATTTCTTTTAAGATAAGAGTTATGATTTTCTTACCTTTGTCTTTGATTTTTTATAAGATTTATGGTAGTAATTCAACAAGTTTTTTATAAACAAAAATAGTTATAGATAGTAAGAAGAAAGCGACAGGATATCATGGCAGAGTAAGAATGTTAAGCACAAAGATAATATGATTATTTATAGTGTAGTATTTTACATTTGATTAGTTTTTCACTATGTCAGGGGTGTAAATAAAATTTTTTTAAGGACAATTATAAATTGAAGATCACCTAATTAAAATTGATCTATGATGTGTATTTTCAAAATAGTGTAAGACATTCTCTTAGGGGTGTAAAGAAATCTGGTAGGGAGGTTTTAAAAAAGATTAAGCTGTATAAAAACTGAGCAGGAAGCGTTTAGGTGATCTCTTACTCCCAGATATGCTGCAATGTTCAAATTTTTCTTTAAGAACTATGTGCTTAAAGTGTATTCATGAATGTAGTATAAGCTTTATAGTTGTATAAATGTTTTTCTGAATGAGAATAGTTATAGAAAACAAATTAGAAAGCCATAGGCCTTTACCTGCTCTGTGCTTAGCGTGAAAAAATTAATCTCGAGGTTTATGTGAATTTCTTATTTAGCTTACACCTAAAAAATAAAATTTATTTCTGTATAATAACATTTATTCCCTTCCAGGTCAGGTAAGTAATTGAGTCATTTTAAAATTAATTAAAACCTTTTCATAGAATGAGTTCATTTTATTAAAATGGCCTTCTTACATGTATTTTAATTAAATTCTGCCATTGCAGAGTGAAGTTTGATAACAAAAAACAACTGCTAGGTGTGAGCATTCTTTATGTATGTATTGTCCCTGTATTGTAACTTATTGTAACTAAACATAGCAACAAAAAAAAATGTATTATTAAAATGTTTCTTTTAAGATGATTATTTCTTATGTTTTTCATAAGAAATGTGTACTTTATAGGGTGCATTCCTGAATGTTGCATAAGGTTTATAATAATAACTAAGGTATTATAATGTTAGATAATAGTGATACAACAAGTTTTTTGTCAATGAAATATTTACAAAAATAAAAAGAAAGCTACAGGCTGTCATGTACCTCATAGGTAGCGTAAAGAAATTAATTCCAAGACATTTAAATTTTAGACACATATTTGGCAGCTAAATGTAACAAAATTTTACAATTATTGCATATCTGTATATTTTTCCCTTTCCAAATCAGATAAATAATTTAGTAAACTTAAAATAGTTTTTATGCTTTTTATAGAGAGTTCATTTTATTGAAATAGCTTATATGTATTTTAATCAAAATTTCTTACATGTATTTTAAATTATCTATATTTTAATCAGACAATTTGTTATGTCAAGGATGATCTGTGTTTCATGGCATTTAATAATTTTTTCCAAGTTTTGTAATCCATGCAACTGGTAAAAAAATTGCTTTAGTGTTTTTTAAAAGTTACTAAATGTTTTTAATTTTACAGAATTATGTAGTTATTAAAGTGTTCATCAGTTCTGCCAATAAGAGCAGTTATGAAAAATAAAAAAAGCTATGGGTTGTCAAGTGCTAAACAAGCAGAGTAAGACTGTTACGCACAAGAATAATATGTTTATTGTTAAATATTTTGTGTGTGTTTTATTAAGTGTGATTGTTGTGTTTTAATATGTCGAGGGTCATAATTAAAACTGAACTATAATGTGTATCTTATTGGCAATATTAAAGTGCATTCATGATTGTTGAATGAGATAGATAGTGATAATAGTAAAATTTTTTTTGTCAATGAGAATAGTTATGGAAGGTAAAGCCGTAGGCTTTCAATGATACATGAGTAAAGTAATAAAATCAGTTCCAAGAATATGTGTACTTCTGGTGTAATAGGCAAGTGTTTTGCAGCTAAACGTAACAGAAATGATAGAGAATGCAAAATTAAAAAGGAGGTAAATAAATATTGTATTTTCGTATATTAATATTTTTTTCTTTTCTAGGTCAGGTAAGTAATATAGTAAACTCGAAATAACTTTCATGCTTTTTTTTTTAAAGAAGGAGCTTATTTTATTGAAATGTCTTGCGTGTATTTTAATCAAGATTCAGAAACAATTTGTTATGTCAGGGATGATCTGTGTTTATAAATGCTGCTGGTAGCATTTAGTAATTAGCTTTGTTCAATTCTTCCATTCTTAAGTATAATTTCATGATGTTAAGAAAAAAAAACAGTTGTAAAAAAAATAAACACTTGCTAAGTGTTAGTATTTTGTATGTATGTATTGTCAGAAAACCAAAAATAGCAAAAGAAGAAATGTATTTATGTTAAACTGATAAGAAATTCGCATTGATGTTTCATTAAGACCTTACTTAAAAGGTAAAATTTTTAAATGTTTCTCTGATTTTTTCATGATTATGTAATTATTGAAGTGTATTCATGAGTGTTTTATTGAAGTGGTGATGGGTTTAATTCTGCCAATAAGGGTGGTTACAAAAAATAGGAAAGAAACATATAAGCTTTTGAATGTGCTACTTGAGCAAAGTGAAGCACAAGTAATATGCGTATTTTAGTTGCAATATTAGTGTAACGATCATGAAAAGTAATCGTGGTTTTTGATATGTAAAGGATACAGAATGTGTGTTATGGTTGCATAGGTGTTGCCTTTGAAGTGCATTCTAAGAAACGATTAAAGGCTACATTGGTCTTCAGTTACTTTGTCTTTGGTAAAAAACTAAATAAATAAGATTTTAAAAAAAACTTTGGTTGCCAAGTGTGAGTGATAAGAGTAATTAAACCACCATAACCAGTAATTAAACCATGCAGTAGGTTGTTTGATATGGTTAATTGACATTAATATGAGATAGTGTTTTGATAACAGTATTGTCGTTCATTTGTCAGATTGCAAGTATACAAAACTATAAGGAAAAGTATAGGAATGGTCAAAAGAAGTTGTGAGTGATATTGAAATAGAACCTCAGGCTGTCGCATAAATAGGCTGTCGTGTTAAATAATAGTAGTTCAGTTTAGGGGTACTCAGCAGGAGGTCATTATTGGAGGTAAAATCTGTGTCAGAAGGAGGAAGGTTTAGAATGAGAGTGTTTAAGCTGTAATCCCAATAAGTGTTAAAAAAAAGTTAAAAGGTTAATTAAACCACCTCATGTCATTTAGGTTTGCCCCATATAAATATGTTAAGAGAGGTTTAACTCCGCCTCGCACAGTGCTTTGGCGAACTACGCATTGAGGAAGCGAGTCTCCCTTAATGTGTGGCCTGCCTTTCTTACTTCTTAAAACTGTTGGTAACTAGACCCAAAGCTAAATTTCAGGAAAACTTGAATGGGCACTTGAGGCATTGTCCATCCTTTAGAAATCCCACTACTATGTTTTATTAGATTTCAGTTTTCTTGTTGGCGGTAGATTTCTTAACTTTACTGTAGATTGTGTTCTTTTTTAATATTTTTTTAAAAGCTACATTGTTGTTTCTTCTTAATATATTGTGTATAATATGTACAAGGTAAACACAGATATCTGCATGTAGGAAA